AGTTTCACTCTTGTTGCCCAGGCTAGAGCATAGGGGCATGATCTCAGCTCACTGCAACATCCACCTCCTGGGTTCAAGTGATTCTGCTTCCTCAGCCTCCCAAGTAGCTGGGACTACAGGTGCCTGCCACCACACCCAGCTAATTTTTTATATTTTTAGTAGAGATAGGGTTTCACCATGTTGGCCAGGCTGTCTCGAACTCCTAACCTCAAGTGATTCACCCACCTCAGCTTCCCAAAGTGCTGGGATTACAGGCGTGAGCTACTGTGCCCCTGCACCCGGCCCAGCGATGCTATTTCGTTCTGGCAGTGGCAGACATGGGCCGGGCTGTGCTGACTGCCCATTCACCTCCCCACAGGGGCTGCAGCCACTGCACCTGGCCAGAAGATAGAAATTTCTAAGCTTTGCTTTACCGATGAGGACCCACGTCACCAAGAAGTGAAAAGATTTGCATATTTACTTACAGTCACAAGATTCTAGTATAGTGCTCATTAAAGATGGGGCACTGTCTTAAGCGCCTGACATATACTAATCCATACAAGCTTCATGACAGCCAGCCCTATGAGATGACTGTTGTCATGGTGCTCCATTTAAAGATGAGGAAACCGAAGCACAGAGAGTTTAGGCAAATTGCCCGAGGTCACACAGCTGGTAAGTGGTTGAGCCAGGATTTAAGACCAGGCAGACTGGTGCTAGAGCCCAGAGGCCAGGCCGCCTCTCTGTAGGACAGTTCTGAGGTTTTCCAAGGCCTCTTCAGGTTGGGGATCAGCCACAGAAAATGACTGATAGTAAGTTCAGGCCAGACTGAGCACGTACGTGTTTACTCTCTCATCAGCCATGATCTACGTGATGGAAAACGGGGCCAGACCTAGACGGATATGTGGTGTGCTGCAAGCTGCAGTCTGATTGAAAGCCAGCCCGGCATGATGCAACCGCAGATGGAAGGAGAGGTTCTGTCCCTGTTCTTGGCAGGGTACGTAGAATTGGTCACGGGTGGCACTGGGTCTCAGATAGAAATCTGATGGCTCCAGTGTTTCACATTTGCATTCTCTCTGGCTTGAGCACTCCCATAATTTTAATAGGGAAGATTTAAGAACCCATTTTGCCACATATCTCCACTGGATAATGGAAAGACATGGAGGGCTGGGTGCAGTGACTCACACCTGTAATCCCAGCACTTTGGGAGGCCGAGGTGGGAGGATCACTTGAGCCCAGGAGTTTGAGACTGGCCTGGGCAACATAGTGAGACCCTGTCTCTATTTTTAAAAATCATATAGAAAGATGTGATCATACTCACTGCGGCTCACCTAGCTTAGATTCAGGAACCCCATGCTCTCCTGAGCACTCTATGGCACCTCCTTCCATTACTTTCCTTTAGGGTCCTGTCATGAGCTCATCATCCATGTTTACAAAATGCAGAGCTGACATTAACATCCTTCTTCGGCTTCCCTTTCTTAGGAAAAGTGTCTACATTTTAAATAAGGTCTAACAGGACCAGGACAATCTACTGCCAACCTCGTGCTCCGTGCTCAGACCACAGCTAAAAGGTCTCCTCCTCAGTGCTGAGGTCTGAATGTGCCCCCTGAAATTCATCTCTGAAACTTCACCTCCAATGTGAGGGTCCTAGGAAGCGGGGCCTTTGAGAGGTGATTGGATGATGAGATGGAGCCCTGCCCCCACCAGGCTGCCTTGAATGGAATTAGCACCCTGATGGAAGAGGTTAAAGGGAGCAGCCAGGCCTTTTTTGGCCCTTCCACTCTTCTGCCATGTGAGGACTCAGCCACAGGGCCCTCATCAGACACCGAATGCCTTGACCGTGGACTTCCCAACAGCCAGAACCGTAAGAAATCAGTGTCTGGTTTGTTTCATTGGTTGGTTGGTTGGTTTTGTTGGTTTTGTTGTTGTTTGTTGTTTTTTGGTTTTTTTTTGAGACAGGGTCTTGCTTTGCCATGCAGGCTGGTGTGCAGTGGTGCAATCATGGTTCACTACAGCTTCGACCTCCCCGGTTCAAGCCATCCTCCCATCTCAGCTTCCAAAGTAGCTGGGACTACAGGTACCTGCCACTATGCCTGGATAATTTTTGTATTTTTTGTAGAGATGGGGTTTTACCATGTTGCCTAGGCTGGTCTCAAGTTCCTAGGCTCAAGCCATCCACCTGCTTCTGCCTCGGAGAGTACTAAGATTACAGGCATGGGCCACCACGCCGTGTCAGTGTTTGCTGTTTATAAGTTACCCAGGTGCAGGTATTTTGTTAAAGCTGCCCAGACATTATGAAGTGCCCCACCAGCTTGATGTAGTAATACAAGACAGGGGTACTAACATTATATGGTTCCTTTCTTATTTACTGCCGGAAATTGTTCTATAAAGAACTATTCTTCATCAACTATTTGTTGACATTGAAATTCAGTCTGTGTAAGAAAGGCAGGAGAAATCCTTGGTTCTTTCCCTTTGCCAGTTTTCAGAATAATTACTACTGGACTGGTCTTTGCTGCTAGGTCTTTCCAGGGGAGAAAGTTAAGATACACGCACCCGCACATGCACAGACACACACACATTTTTGTTCTTGTTTTGAGACACAGTCTTATTCTGTTGCCCAGGCTGGAGTGCACTGGCACGATGATGGCTCACTATAGCCCCCACTTCCCAGGCTCAAGTGATCCTCCTACCTCGGCCTCCCTAGGAGCTGGGACTGCAGGCGTGCGCCACCATGGCCAGCTAATTTTTTTATATTGTGTAGAGACAGGGTCTCACCATGTTGCCCAGGCTGGTCTTGAACTCCTGAGATCAAGTGAGCCCACCTTGAGCTCTAAAGTACTGGGACTCAAGTGTGAGCCATCATGCCCAGCCAAGATATATATATATATTTAAGGGGGAAATAATCATGATTTTATACTGATGCTTCCAATTCAAATTCAGGACCACTAGGCTTTTGACTTGAATTTTACATTTGTGTCTTTTATTTTAAATACTGAAAATCTTGGTTCCCAATGGCATTAATGTAATTATATATTTACTTTATCAGTATGGGTATGTGCGGTCTCAAATAATAACATCTGACAACTGAGAACAATTAAAGCTTTTTTTTTTTTTTCTGTAGTGATGGATCTCCCTATGTTGCCCAGGCTGGTCTCAAACTCCCGGCTCAAATGATCCTCCCACCTCAGCCTCCCAAAGTGCTGGGATTACAGGTCTCAGCCTGGCTTTAAGATTTTTTTTCTAGTTCCTTTTGACTTTAGGCTATACCCCACCAAATATGTACAGTCACATTGCTGTGGTGTTTAATAATTTGAAATCATTCTCTGTGGGGTTATGCCAATTACTTGATATGTCATTAAATTGATACGTCATTAAGTTGTATTTCTTTTCTTTTTTTTTTTTTTGAGACGAAGTCTCCCTCTGTTACCCAGGCTGGAGTGCAATGGCATGATCTCGGCTCACTGCAACCTCCACTTCCTGGGTTCAAGCAATTCTCCTGTCTCAGCCTCCTGAGCAGCTGGGATTACAGGCATGCATCACCACACCTGGCTAATTTTTGTATTTTTAGTAGAGATGGGTTTTTACCATGTTGGCCAGGCTGGTCTCAAACTCCTGACTTCAAGGGATCCACCCACCTCAGCCTCCCAAAGTGCTAGAATTACAGGCATGAGCCACTGCGCCTGGACCCAAATTCTTTCTCTAGCTATCCTGAGAGCTGGCCACGCTTTGAACTTCTGCTTTGAATACTTTCAGTGACACTGGAAAAGAATTATCTCAGGGGACCATTCTCGTTGTTAGAAAATCCATTGTTATACTGAAAGTATTACACACACACACACACACACACACACACAGGCTCTTCCTCCTGGAATATGACTGACCTGAAAACGTGTGAAGACACATCCCATCTTCTCTGGTTTTACTGTTCATCTAATTTTCTGGTCTCCTCCTGGCAGGAGGACTGTATTTTATCTTGTGGAACTCTGGTCCGTGGAAATTGAGAGGAACTCACATGTGTGTCACTTCTGGGCAGAAGCTTTGAGAGCCGGTTTAAATGATCCCCTTTCCCTTCATCATGAGACAAGCTAAGTTCCAGAGGGTTGCCAAACTATGAGGGACCTGTGTTATGGGCAAGATGGCTTGTGTTACTTCAAATCCTTGAAGTGCCTGAAATTTGGAGGTCAGTTGTTGCCATAACATAACCGAGCCCATTCTAGTTAATCTGTTTTCTTCCTAACTTCTTTAATCGTTCTTCATAAGTCACAGTCTCAGCCCCTGGCCATTCTGACCACTGTCCCGTGGATTCCACTCAGTTTAGTCATTATCCCGCTTGAAATGTGGAGCCTAAATCTAAACCCGGAACCCCAGGTGCAATCCCTCTAGGGCACAATAGAATGGGTTCCTGAGCCCTTTGATCCTCTGAATAGACCCTCTCCTTGCTTTGGTGTTTGTCTGTGTGTGTGCTTTTATCCGTTGAGCCACTCTGTTGACTCGCAGTGAGCCTGTGAACCAATAACTAGAGAAGTTAGTGACCTTTCGACATATATCGGGAAACTGATTTTTTGATCCGCGTTCAAGTAGACAGGGCAGAATTTTCGAACCGCTACGTGATCTTTTAAAGACAAGTTAGTGGTAGACCATTTACAGAAACTAGGTGTTTTGTCTTTTGGCTTCGAGCACGTTGCTAATCTTCATCATCTCGTGTAGTGAGCAAAGGCTGCGCAGCTGCAGCACCGGTAGGACTAGGCGCTCGGTAGGACGGGGCCTGGACTACCGGGGTCCCCGCCAGTCTGCAGGGCGGAATCTAGGAAACATCCTTTTCCGCGGCGCCCTGGAGGAGGGGCCCCACTTTCCCACGCAGGCGCTCTCAAGCCCCCGCCTCCTCACCCGCCCGCCGCGTGGCGACGGAGAGCCCGCAGCCCTCCGCCTCTGGCGCCGATACCCAATGTGCAGCCGCAGTCCTTTCGCAGGGGCGGGGCACTCCCCGGACGCCGTTCTGGTTGGCCAGCGGCCCGGCGCAGCGCATGACTTCATTACGACTCGGTTACGCCGCGCTCCGATTGAGGCGTGGCATTTGCTGGGGCGCCTGAAGGAGACTTGGGGGCACCCGAGTAGTGCCTCTTGGGCTGTTAGGAGTTGCCACTGTCTGCTTCATGAGGAAGATGCTCGCCGCAGTCTCCCGCGTGTTGTCTGGTGCTTCCCAGAAGCCGGTGAGACCTCCCAGGCGGGCCGGGGTGGGGCGCGAGCGGGGCCGGAGCGGGGGCCGGGCCACCCAGCGCGGGGTGGAAGGCTGTAGGGGAGCCGGGGAGCCGGGGAGCCTTTACTTTGCCTCCACGCCCTGCATTCCGTTCCTGGCCCCAGGGGAAGCGGCGCGGACAGGGATCCCGCCAAGGTCCGTGTGGACTTCCCCCTTCCGACTCCCCCCTTCCGCTCCCGGACCCAGCTGTGCGCCGGGCGAAGTCGGTGTGCTGTGTGCTGAAGAGGTGCCTTTTGGTTGACAGGACACGGAAAGAGGGGCCTCGGCCTCCTTCGAGTCTCCAGTTAACCCCAGTCATTTCACATCTTCCTTACTTAATTTCTCTTGACGGAGAGGCTTTGTAATAAATAGCGTACAATCTGGAGACCGGGTGGCTCCGTTCAAACAGCACCCTCACCATTGACCAGCCCTGTGACCTTGAGCAAGTTTTTAAAGGTCCCGGGGATCCTGTTTCCTAAAATGTTTGCTCTAGGTGGAGTTAATCTCTAAGTGGAGATAAGAGTCGTCTTTGAAATGTTATCAGTTAACTCTAAAATGGAGAGATAATAGAGTCCCCACCTCTTGGGGTTGTCTTGAGGATTCAACGAGTGACACGTGCGGAAACGGTTCCAACTAGCACCTGGCACATAGTCGATAGCAGGTGTGTTGAATGGTGTTATTTATTGAGTGCCCAGTTCGGTATACATGTCTTGAACACCTGTGCTCAGTTGGGAGGCGGGTTCACAGAGAGTCAGCCTCTTCGGAAACAAACTTCCTCCCCTTCTCTCTCAACATCTCAGCTTTTCTTGGCAGTGAGTTCAAGAGCGCTGAACCGGAACTCAGAGGACACTGCCCTCCCCTCACCTGCAAAGTCTTGGGGTACAAGTAGCTAAAGCAAACAGCAACGATGCTTGAGGGGTGGGGGTTACAGTTAGGGATATTTCATGGCTTAAGCATTTAGAGGTGCCTAACACCTAAGCTTCTAGCATTCTGACCCGTAGGCACAGTGAGGTCGTGTTAATCGGTGTAACTGCAGCACTCTTGATTCTGGCCCTGGTAATTCCCCCCAGGACTTGATGTCTATGACATGGCCATGTGTGGCTCATGCCTGTAATCCCAGCACTTCGGGAGGCCGAGGTGGGCGGATCACCTGAGGTCAGGAGTTCGGGACCAGCCTGGCCAAGGTGATGAAACCCTGTCTCTACTAAAAATACAAAAATTAGCTGGGCGTGATGGCAGGCCCTGGTAATCCCAGCTACTCTGGAGGCTGAGGCAGGAGAATCGTTTGAACCCGGGAGGCAGAGACTGCAGTGATCTGATATCAGGCCATTGCACTCCAGCCTGGGCAACAGGAGCAAGACTCTTTCTTTAGAAAAAAAAAAAAAAAAAAAGGTTGGGGAGGATGTCATTCCCTTTAGGGGTATCTGTGAGTAGAGGGCTGTGCTGGTAGGCAGGGGCTCAGAAGCACCCTTCCCTTAGGCACCTGATGTAGGTTGTTTCTTCTGCAAGTCAGGTTTTCTGTATCAATCTGCAGGATTCTTCCCCCTCCTCCACCTTACAGAAGGAATAAAATAGAGTTCCAGATATGAAGTCACTTGAGAAAGTGCCCAGGTATCTTTCCACTTGGTGGTGTAAACTCTTCAGATAATTAGAAGTTTTCTGTGTCACTGTACTTGTCATGGTCTAATTAATTAGGAACCATTCCCGAAGCTTCTAAGGGTAGTACTAAGTTTCACCTGGATCTTTTTAAAGGGTGGAATAATAAACTCTAACCTGTTGACTCTTTGTATTTTGTAATTCTTCATACATGTGGATGTCTTTTTACTTAACTATAACACAAAATAGATCAAGGTTTTAATTTTCTATACTTTATAAGACATTTTGCATATAAGCCTTTGCCCAAAGTCCAGACAGTACACGATGAGCAGTGGCTCACCCAAATTAGGCAGACTTACTGGAGTCCTGCCATCTGTGTGATACTCCGTGAAGGGACGGACCAGAGAAGGGGAGGCAGCTGGTCTGATGGCTGTGACACAAGTTACAGCCTTAACCTCCCAAGACACCGTGTGTTTTTTCCTTTTTTGTTTTTTATTCTCCCTGGTGTCTGTTTTGTTTGAGACAGGTCTCCGTCACTCAGGCTAGAGTGCAGTGGCTTGATGACAGCTCACTACAGCCTCAGCCTGCTAGGCTCAAGTGATCCTCCTACCTTAGCCTCCCGAGTAGTTGGGAACACAGGCATGCACCACCACGCCTAGCCATTTAAAAAAAAAAAAATTTTTAATAGAGCCATGGTCTCGCTCTGTTGTCCAGTCTGGTGTCCAACTCCAGGCTCAAGCAGTCCTCCCACTTCGGCCTCCCAAAGTGCTGGGATTACTCTCACTCTCTAAAAGGCAGGCAGGGAGATTTATCTCAGGCTTAAAGATTGCCATTGTCTCATCAAAGAGTGTCTGGTGTGAAACTTTGAAATGAATTACAAGATTGTGTTTTCATTTTTGAATAAGGTTTATCATTTTCAAAATTCTTATTTTGTGGATGAAGACAGAATTGCATTTTAAAATGTTGTTCTTTTATTGTTTGCATTTCTGTATGACACCTTTTGTGAAATCTTTACTATCAGTGTTCTTTTGACTTTATAAGTGGTAGGTAAGAGTTCTAATTTACACTGTGTTGGAATCTGGAATTTTTGAAAGATTTTTCCTCTTTCACACGAATGGGTCCTATTTAGAAGTTAAAGTTTTACTTTTTTTATTTAATTTTTTTTTTTAGGGCAGAGTGCAGTGGTACAATCATAGTTCACTGTACCTTCAGGTGTGCGCCACCACACCTGGCTAATTTTGTAATTTTTATTTTTGTAGAGATGACAGTCTCACTATGTTGCCCAGGCTGGCTTTGAACTCCTGGCCTCAAGTGATCCTCCCACCGTGCTGGGGATTACAGGTATGAGCCACAATGCCCAGCCTAGTTTTTATTTTATTTTTTAATTTCAATGGGTTGTTCGTGGTCTCTGTCAGAGAGGAATCCCATTTAACAGAGAATCTTTTTATGGCTCTCCAGGGAAAATAAATGGCAAAATTATCTTTTCAACAAGCTCTCACTCAGAAATTACAATATACTTGCACTTCTGACAGGACTTTTAGCTTCTTTAACTTCGCTGCTTTCACTCATCTCAGTGGTTCTTATTTTTGAGATACACGATACTGAAGCAAGGGGAGAACTATCTGAGTAGCTTTCTGGCAGTCCTAATCTTTGCAGGCACAAGATTACAGGCACGTGCACCGGCCCCTCTTGCTCCTCGTTGTATAGCATTATCTTACCTCATTGTTTCAACTCTGGGATTGAGAAAGAAGTTACCTTTTCCCTGTTACTGTTAGCTGGCTGGTTTGGACTCCTGCCTTCCAAAAACTGCAGTTTCTGTAGGTGTATTTGGAAATTTATTTCACAATACAGTAACAATTTCTGACCTCACAAAATAATTTATTAACTGCCAAGAACAGTCTGTTTGATGATTGCCAGGCGTAACCATTCATTTGCTATTTCACCCTGTCTCAGCTTGACTTCTCAAATACACTTTTTCTGAGATATGTTGGGGAACTGTCTCTACCTCTAAGTTAATGGAAACACTGATTCCTAGTATTTGAACTGTTTTCCTCCAGCAGTGTCATAGTCTGTGTTTGTCGGCTTTGTCCCATGATGGTCTATTGAGGGGTGAAGAGATGCGTAATTAGCTTTCTGCCTGTTGGCTTGTACACTCCAGGATAAACTTGGCAGATCAGTCTTAACTCTTCTCACCAAGATCCAGTCCAGTGCTGGACTAGGTAAGGTATGAACACGTCAGATGTGCTTTTTATGGAGAAGTCATCTTGGTTTACATGTCAGTGTGAGTGTGTGGCAGAACGGGGCTAAAATAATATGATAATACTAACTGGATACATTTTGTGGTCTAACCTAAACCTGAGCCATTGCATAGAAGACTTGCTGTGAGCAGGTTTGCTCAATTGTAAAACCGGAAAGGAATCATTTCTCGCTTCCCCCCAAAGCTTTTTACCTCCAAACAGTGATAGCCACCCAAACATCAAAAGAACGTTTCTTTCCACTGGGGCTTCAAGAGGAGCCTACCCAAGATTTAGACTGTTTAAATTGTAAATTATAAAACAGCTGCCTCAAGCCCATTATGTTTAAGTCAAGAGGGCTAAGTGTTCTTTTACCTCGTCTCCCTAATGTGTTTATCTCAGACTTCGACCAATTTAAAGTATTTTTTCTTGCAGATCCAATTTGATAGAAGAGTGAAGTTTGCCTGGAGTGGGGATTAAATCATGGTTTTATTTGAAGTATAATTTCAGCTTGCTTAAAATGAACAGTACCGGGTTATGACTAAGAATAGCATAAACAGGCCGGGCACGGCGGCTCACGCTTGTAATCCCAGCCGTTTGGGAGGCCGAGGCAGGTGGATCACCAGGTCAGGAGTTTAGGACCCGCCTGGCCAGCATGATGAAACCCCGTCACTACTAAAAATACAAAAATTAGGCTGGGCGCGGTGACTCAAGCCTGTAATCCCAGCACTTTGGGAGGCTGAGGCAGGAGAATCATTTGAACCCGGGAGGCAGAGGTTGCAGTGAGCCGAGATAGTGCCACTGCACTCCAGCCTGGATGACAAAAGCAAAACTCGATCTCAAAAAAGAATGGCAAAAAACAAACTCAGCTCACAGATGACCTAGTCTCTTTAGCCACTAATTTCATTATATTCTCACTATAATTTCTTTGACAACAAAGGATGGGTTTGGTTTTTGCCCCTTTCTCTTTGCACTGCTTGCCTTCAGATGGCGGTATGATGGTGTTTCATTGGCCAAAGCATGGATTCATTTTGGAGGACAAGGAGGATGCAGGCACAGTGCACAGAGTGAGAGAGAAGTCCATGCATATGCTGGGGCTTATTAACTTTCCTTAATTTCATCCTGGTAACTGATGAATAGTAATTGTACTTTCCAAAATTGCTGACAATTAAAAAGTACTGATTTGCTTGTATATTTTTGTCTTTCCAGGCAAGCAGAGTGCTGGTAGCATCCCGTAATTTTGCAAATGATGCTACATTTGAAATTAAGGTAAGAAGTGTTTTACTTCGTTAATAATTTTTTCTGATACACAGCTTTACCTTTAGAATAGAACATTTTGATGTTCATGCTGAGCCATCATTTTCTTAACGTTCCAGGATCAAAGGTTCAGAGAAGTGTCACAAAAACTAGAATTTATTATTAGTGGCTTGCTCGTGTTCTGTGGGGTGAAGGGGGAGAAGCTAAAAAATAAAAATAAAAATAAAAGCTTATTCTAAAGTTTAGAATGTAACTCAGTGAGATATTTGAATAAGAAGAGTCTTAGTTGTTTCTTTGAAGGTTCTTTCAACCTGTAACTTAGTTGGCTTTTAGGGGCTTTCAGTGAAAATCATCTTAGAAAGATTTCCTTCCCCTCAAGCCCCATCTCATTGCACAGTGAGGTGTACCGATTGAAGGAACAGAGGCAATATGAAGCATCACTAATGTGCTCCTTTGCAGCTTTTCAAGTTCAATATTATTTGCAATGGAGTTAGACCTCAGAGTGGTCAACAGTGTTTGCAGTGTAGTATGTGGAGGATAGTAACCACCTTACTCCCTTGCAGAAATGTGACCTTCACCGGCTGGAAGAAGGCCCTCCTGTCACAACAGTGCTCACCAGGGAGGATGGGCTCAAATACTACAGGATGATGCAGACTGTGCGCCGAATGGAGTTAAAAGCAGACCAGCTGTATAAACAGAAAATTATTCGCGGTTTCTGTCACCTGTGTGATGGTCAGGTGGGTGGCAGGTTTGTGATAGAGCTGTGTTATTTAGGTGTTGAAGTATGGCTTGTACTTACTGGGCTTTACCCTGCCTTAGGTGTCGAAAGCATTTGAGGCTGGTCATGTAATTTTCTTTTATTTATTTATACTGTTGAGACAGTCCCTGTCTGTCGCCCAGGCTGGAGTACAGTGGTACGATCTTGGCTCACTGCAGCCTCTGCCCCCTGGGCTCAAGCAGTCCTCTCACCTCAGTCTCCTGAGTAGCTGGGACCACAGGTACACGCCACCTCACCCAGCTAATTTTTGTGTTTTTTTTTTTTTAGAGACGGGGTCCCACTATGTTGCCCAGGCTGGTCTTAAACTCCTGGACTCAACCAGTCTGCCCACCTTAGCCTCCCAATGTGCAGGGATTATAGGGGTGAGCCACTGTGCCTGGCTGAAGCCAGTATCTTAGAATGAAAGGTAGAACGCCAAAACCCACTATGAAGCTTAGGCTATAAACCATTCATTCACACATAACATTGCCAGTGTATATACCTGTTCTTAGGGTTTTACTGTTGTAAAACCTCTGGCATTGTGATCATCCTGTACTCTATACAATTTGGGGAGAAAGGATTCGTTTGTTTGTTTTTTGTTTCGTGGGTTTAGGTCAAGGGTTATAGAATCAAATGCCTTCAAGGGCCAGCCAGGTAGAATAAATCGGTGAATAAGGCTAGGTGTACATGACAAAGAATGGTGACAGGGACTCGTGCTGAACTGGGGCCGGCATTCCCTACCCAGAGGAACGCCATGACTTGGTTCCAGCCGATTGGCGCCGTGTGGAGGTCATGGGTCATGCTTCCTGTTTTTCACGACTCCAAGAGAAGGCGGAAGTCTGGATTTTCATGTAACATTCCCCAGTGTTTTAATGTTGACATCTGATGTAGAATTTTTCTTTTAAGTCATACAGGAGAAAGGAAGTGGCACATGTATGGTCATTAATGACAATTCTACTAGCCCAAATATTTCACTGCTGTCTAGGAAATGTTTTTCTTCAGAACACGTATTGTATGGCCTCATGGTTTCTCCTTCCTCTAACCAGGAAGCTTGCTGTGTGGGCCTGGAAGCCGGCATAAACCCCACAGACCATCTCATCACAGCCTACCGGGCTCATGGCTTTACCTTCACCCGGGGCCTTTCTGTCCGAGAAATTCTCGCAGAGCTAACAGGTTTGCTGTTGATTTGCAGAAAGGGGATATGAGTAGATGAGGTTTTAAAATATTTTCCATTACAATGCTGACTGTTATGAGTTAATATTTGTTAAAAGTTTTAAGTTTCTTTTTTAATTCGCCTTTGGTGCTCTGTTACTTCCGTTGTGCTCCTGAGTTAAATGACCATTTTTGAAGTCCTCTGGCCCCTCAGGTAAAAGTTTAAAAAAGATTAGTGCTATGAAATCACAGTAGGTTTGGTTATCATTCAAGCATGCCAACAGAAGTTTAGCAATCATAGAAAGTAAGTTGGGTTGAGGCACTCCATGGTATGCGATGTAAATTCTAGAAATTTTCATATTCCCCTTTTTGTTTCGTTTTGGTTTCTTTTTTGAGACTGAGTCTCACTCTGTTGCTCAGGCTGGAGTGCAGTGGTGTGATCTTGGTTCACTGCAACCTCTGCCTCCCTGGTTCAAGTGATTCTCGTGCCTCAGTCTCCCAAGTAGCTGGGACTACAGCTGTATGCCACCACGCCTGGCTAATTTTTATATTTCTGGTAAAGACAGGGTTTCACCATGTTGGCCAGGCTGGTCTTGAACTCCTGACCTCAAGTGATCTACCCGCCTCGCCCCCCCAAAGTGCTGGGATTACAGGTATGAGCCACCGTGCCCCACCTGTTTTATTGTTTTTGAGACAGAGTCTTGCTCTGTCTCCCAGGCTGGAGTGCAGTGGCCTGCTTCGCCTCCCAAAGTGCTAGGATTAAGGCATGAGCCACTGCACCCAGCCCTCCTTGACTCTTTTTGTTTGTTTGTTTGTTTTGGAGACAGTTTTGCTCTTTCACCCAGGCTGGAGTGAAGTGGTGTGATCTCAGCTCACTGCAACCTCCACCCCCTGGGTTCAAGCGATTCTCCTCCCTCAGCCTCCCAAGTAGCTGGGATTATAGGTGCCCACCACCACACCTGGCTAATTTTTGTATTTTTAGTAGAGACCAGGTTTCACTGTGTTGGCCAGGCTGGTCTCAAATTCCCGACCTCAGGTGATCCACCCACTTCAGCCTCCCAAAGTGCTGGGATTATAGGCGTGGGCCCCTGTGCCCAGCCCTCCTTGACTATTTAAGTATGGTTGTCCCTCCATATATCCAGGGGATTGGTTCTAGGACCTTCAAGTATACCAAAATCCTCAAATACTCAAGTCCGGAAGTCAGCCTTCCATGTCTTCAGGTTTGCATCCTGAGAATATTGTATTTTTGATCCACGTGCAGCTAAAAAAAAAAATCTGTGTATAAGTGTACAGATGCAGTTCAAACCCTGTTCAAGGACCGAATATATTTAGTGTACCAGTATAGGAGAGGTCCTAAGATGATTGTAACTGGCCAGAAAAACAAGTCCAGCGCACCATCTGGACTTTTGCTAACATCTAAAGGTAACTCGGTGATTAGAGAGTAGGAAAAGCTGGAAAGGTTGAAGCACATGGAACCAGTGGAAGGACAAGGAGAAACATGTGTTTGGCTGGTGGGACAGGTACTTAGACCACTGAATTGGCCTCTGAGTTCTAATGGTGGAGCCTCAGAGTACATACTTGGGGTGCGGTTGGGTTTGCTTCGTAGATTTGGTTTGTGTTGCACATGTGTATGTTCTGCCATTTCCAGGACGAAAAGGAGGTTGTGCTAAAGGGAAAGGAGGATCGATGCACATGTATGCCAAGAACTTCTACGGGGGTAATGGCATCGTGGGAGCACAGGTAGTCAAGGATGGGGGTTGTGTGCTTCCTTAGATTTGGCCCTGGCTTTTGTCGTCAGAAACTTTCCCAGCCCCAGACAACTTTTCCCTGAAGTAGCACAGCCTTGTGCTGCTCAGTGACGCTTTGGTCAGTGTCACGTATACGATGGTAGTCCATGAGAGTCTAATGGAGCTGAAAACTTCCTGTCACCTAGTGATGTTGTAGTGGCACAGCAGATTACCTTTTCTACGTTTAGGTACACAAATATTTTGCCCGCAGGATTCAGTACAGTCATGCTGTGCAGGGTTGCAGCCTAGGTGTGCAGTAGGCTGTACCATCTAGGTTTGTGCAAGTACAGTAAGGTGTTCACACGACAAAATCGCCTAGTGATGTAATTCTGACTATATCCCTGTTTTTAAGCAATGCATGACTGTATTTTGGGGGCTTGGTTTGCCTTTAAAGATCTAGTGCTTCATAGCCCACCATCTGAGAGAGAAATAGACTTGGATGGTGATTTATAATGTTTCCTTTGAGGTGTTTGCTGTTTTCTAAGTAAGCAGGAGCCTCTAGCAGTGGAGCCATACCTTCCCCTTCTTATTTCTATTTCAGTACATTCATTGGTTTATCTTGTCAACTTCATTATGGAGTCCTTGTTCTCATCAGTTAGTGAATGATGAAGAATTAACAGCACAAAATTATATCCAGACTTTTTTTTATTTTCTAACATACTGAGATTCTATTATTTGTTTTCTGGGTTTTTTTTGTTTTTGTTTTTGTTTTTGTTTTTTAAAAGGAGTCTCGCTCTATCACCAGGCTGGAGTGCAGTGGTGTGATCTTGGCTCACCGCAACCTCCGCCTCCCAGGCTCAAGTGATTCTCCTGCCTCAGCTTCCCAAGTAGCTGAGATTACAGGCATGCGCCACCATGCCCAGCTAATTTTTGTATTTTTAGTACAAATGGGGTTTCACCATGTTGGCCAGGATGGTCTCGATCTCTTGACCTCGTGATCCACCCGCCTTGGCCTCCCAAAGTGCTGGGACCGTGCCTGGCCAAGTTTTATATTTTAACTCTTGAATGCAGAAATGTTACTGCTTACTGGTTAAAATAGAACATAGTATTTATGTATTAATTTACTGGTTCTTCGAAAATAATGAGGGTGGGATAAGCAGAGAGATGGATTTGGAAGGAGAGTTTGTAGCAGCAGTGTAATTTCTGTGCCAGATTCTGGCCAGGAGTTAAAATTCAGGGCATTTATATCCCCTCATGGATTTTTGTGGTTCCTTTCTCGGTTGTCCTTCATGTTAGGTGCCCCTGGGTGCTGGGATTGCTCTAGCCTGTAAGTATAATGGAAAAGATGAGGTCTGCCTGACTTTATATGGTGATGGCGCTGCTAATCAGGTAATTATGTCTCTTAACTTCCCAATAACAATTTTATTTTCAAAGTGTTTAATATTCACAGTTGAGTTCCTAAAGTAGTAGTGTATTGCTTATTAGGTGAAATAGCAATTACTATGGCTAACTCAAATTTGGTTGATTTATGGCCAGATTAGAAATTGACCTCTTAGTGCTGTTTCACAAGAGCCTTATGGGGGTGCATTCCTGTGAAGGAGCTCGCCTTTGCTCTACATCGGTGCTTGGTAAAGGCCCTCCCCCGAACCTATTACAAAACAATACAGACCCATTCTTTAGGATGCCAGAGCAGGCAGTGTCAAATTCAGATAATAGTGTCTGAGTCGTAACTCAGTTTCTGTGCTTCTCTTGTTACCGAGTAATCCCTAGTCTGCGACCGGCACTCTGTGAAGCCCTGTCCTAAAGGCCTATTCTCAGGTGCTGGTTCACTCTGGCTATCCAGTAGGCCTGATAGATTTCTAATAAAGTATAAAACTAGGTAGCCACACGTTTTTGCATATTGATCTTTTTTCCAGTGTGTTCCTTACTGCTAGCACGGCCCCAAAGAAACAAGTGGTAGTATTTGGTTATTCACCTCCCTTAGCTGCAAGAATGTGATGCCTGCTGCTTCTCCTCCACCCTGCACCCCGCTTTCCCTCACCACCCAAAGATCAGTTTTAGAAGAGGCGGCTCTCTGTGCTTGATGAAAGCCTTCTGTACCAGGCAGAGCAGCAGCTGTTACAGATGATGAAGCCTAGAGAAGGAAGCTGAATGAAACCCCTTTTCATAACTACTTCCAGGGCCAGATCTTCGAAGCTTACAACATGGCAGCTCTGTGGAAATTACCTTGTATTTTCATCTGTGAAAATAACCGCTATGGAATGGGAACATCTGTTGAGAGAGCAGCAGCCAGCACTGATTACTACAAGAGAGGGGATTTCATTCCTGGGTTGAGAGTAAGGACACCCGTGGTGGGGATGGGGCCCGCGGTATGCCCTTGTGCAGAGCCTTACCGATCTTAGAAGCATTGAAGAGTTTGATTCTCATGCATGAGCAGGCCATGTGAAAGTAAAGTGGTTTGGGGCAGCTGGATTCAGGCTTTGCCTCTCCCATGTTTATTCACAGGTGGATGGAATGGATATCCTGTGTGTCCGAGAGGCGACAAGGTTTGCCGCTGCCTATTGTAGATCTGGGAAGGTAAGGCTCTAAAGGCCTCTGCGCTAATGACATCTTTAGAAGTTCAAAGACTGCCTCCCATGTGTCTGTTGAAGCTGTTAGGGAGTAGCTGCTAATTGAGGTGCATGAGCTGGAAGGCGAGTGAAGAGAGCAGGCTCCTGAGTAGCTCGGTCTTTAGCTCACCAGCTGGGAAGCCCACATTGCTCTCGTTTGGGGGAAATCTGTTCTGGTGCTTCCTCTGCTTTGGCCTCTGTCTTCTTCATGACAGCTACTTTGCCTTTTAGTTAGGTTAATTCTGTACCTCCTCCCCAACCCCCATTAATCATGAGCCCCTTGAAGGAGCAGATAAGGGATCTACACAGTGTCCAGCATAGAACGTCATGTTTACAATAGGCATTTAATGTGTGTGTCTTAGACACAGTAAATAGAATGACTGAAGCTTGTAATCTTAGTCTTGCTCAGTCCTAAGGATCTTTCCCTTCCAGTGTATGGCAGTGAGGGAGATGGGCCTGAAGAGAGGTTTCAGTTCCTTTTGCGCTAGTATAGGCTTAGTAGGTTTGGGTGTTCTCCCTAAATCAATGTTCCCCGGCCCAGAAACAAGGTTTCTGCAGTTTGTACTTCAGTGGCATACCATGTATGTTTGGACAGTGGTGCGTGTCAGATGTGGCCAGAATGATGGAAGAGACGGAGGCGAGGGTGGGAAGTGGAACATGAAACAAGCGCCAGTGAGTAGAATGAACTACAGCAGGACCGAGACCACGGCTTGGCAACACTGGGCTGAGCAGTCTATGTCAGGACTCTAAGGCTGGGAGTGCCAGGCCCTGACAGTGGGTTTTGACCCCACCTCTCCCAATTCTTGAAAAGAATCTGTGGAAGCCAGCCCTGGCTGGAGACATGGTGTTGACTTTCCCAGCCAGATAACCTTCACAATTCTGAGTTAGGTGTTAACTGTTTTGCCCATTTAACAGACAGGGAAATAGCCACAGAGCAGTTAAAGGTACAAGAGCTACTCTACCTTGGAGCCTGGATTGGAACCCAAGCACCTGGACTCTGAGCCAGCTCCCCACTCCCCCATTTTAACTGCTGCACCAAACCAACCAAGGATCCTCAATGCTTCCCCATCCCTCAGTGTTCAGAGCCATCTCCTGGAAGTGGGCTAGTGTCAAATGAGCAGGCCACTTGGTGATACAGAACCCAACTGGGCAGACTCCCAACAGAGCCTCGGGGTTTGGGGAGCAGAGGTTGTTGGTACCTGCCAACTTTGTTACACACTAGCAAGATCTGTGAAGTACAAGTGGCTGCCAGCCCCACAACACACCATGAGAAAGGAGCACAAGATGGAAATCTGCCTAGCCAGTATCAGGAGGCTCTAGCACACACTCGAAGCCTTTTTCTTTTTTGACAGGGTCTTGGGCAGTGGCATATTCACAGCTCACTGTGGCCTTAACTTTCCAGGGTTAGGTGATCTTCCCAAGTAGCTGGGACTACAGGTGCATGCCACCATGCCTGGCTAGTTTTTGTTTTTGTTTTTGTTTTTTTTAAGAGATGGGGTTTTGCTATGTTGTCCAGGATGGTCTTGAAGTCCTGGGCTCAAGTAATCCTCCTGCCTCAGCCTCCCAAAGTGCTGGGATTACAGGCATGAGCCACCATACCTGGCCTTTTTGATCCAAAACAAGCTATTGCCAGATTGCCTTACTAAAATAAGATGAAATATATCATCAATACATGCTAGAAATGAGAACAAATAATCAGTCAACAAATAAGAAATTCGTGACAACTCAGATCTGATAAAAATACACTGGACACTTAATAAAGGGCCTGTGTTTGAGGCCGTGGATCGTCGGGCTGCTGTTCCCATCATCATTCCTAACTGCCTTCCGGTTCTGTTTTAGGGGCCCATCCTGATGGAACTGCAGACTTATCGTTACCACGGACACAGCATGAGTGATCCTGGAGTCAGGTACACTCATGGGCAATGTGGTTTCCAGAGGTGGTGGGCTTTGAATGGTGTTACATGGCAAAAGGTACACATTTCAGCATTTGCTTTTGCAGCTACATACCAGTTCACTTCCTGTATGCAGTTAGCTTTGTTGGCATCAAGTTATCTGAAGTCTTAGTCTGAAAGCAGTGCCTCCTAAAAACAAAGCTTTCTAAAAATTCCTAGAGTGTGTAGTGTGTGAGCACAAGCAACGATTTTCAAAAGAGCATTGGAAATTGTTACATAAAACAGGGCTGATGGTAGGGTAGTATCTTTGGGGGCATTTAGCTTTTGTAGGTATTACCCCAAGTCCACAGATGGCATACCCCACCTGAAGAGAACGTCTGGCATAGAGCAAGGCTAACTGGGGGTTCAATCTGTTGAAATACATCAATCACTAGGAAGGTATGAATTTTACTTTTTGGCTTAGTAGCTGTGGCATGTAATTCTGGAATCCCAGGTGTGACACAGTTGAATAAAGAAGCCTTCATAGAGTGGACTTCTCAGGGAAAATCATGTGTAGAGTGTAGTATATGGAAAATGTACTTTGTGTAAATCTGTTGTTGAAAGTGGTAGAATCCTTTTATTGATGTAGTGATACTTCAAATGATGTAGGCAAAAATTCTACATCATAGAATTGGAAGACTTGGTATCCAAGGTTTTGCTGACTGTGCTGCTTTAGGGGGACTTACGGGAGAAAGGCAAGGCACATGGATTTCTTACTGGGCGGTCTGATGTCTCAAAGTCTGATTATCAGCACAAACTGTCTCTGCTGTCCCCACCCATGTAGTATGCTTGAGCCCAAATGGGTGGGACAAGAGACACTTCTTTAGACCCTTATGTCTAAATTAAAGCAGCAAGCACAAACTTGGCCCCTGTTGTCAGAATGCCAGAGAAGCCCTAGGACTTACCAGTGTATGGTTTTCTAGAAAAGACAGCAGTTCTTACAGAATGTTAAGCTGGGTTCTGGTGTTTTGAAAGTGTAACTCTGCCACTCCTATGGTGACAGAGGCATTAATGTGCCCCTTTGTTTTAGAAACACACTTCTATATCTCACCTCATTGGGACAGTCCAACCCAATATCCTATTTCTTCATGCTGTCCTTGCTCTCCTGGAGCTGTTCTTACTGATCAATTACTTTTTCCCTCCCCATAGTTACCGTACACGAGAAGAAATTCAGGAAGTAAGAAGCAAGAGTGACCCTATTATGCTTCTCAAGGACAGGATGGTGAACAGCAATCTTGCCAGTGTGGAAGAATTAAAGGTACACTCACTCATTTGTGGAGGTTTGAAGGTTGGCTTTTTTTTTTTTGCACCCCCCCCTTCCCCCCTAAAAAAGTTGCCACCCCTGGGTGGGCACAGACAGAGTTTGTGTGGGTTTCTCTAAGCCCAAAAAGTGATGTGCTGGGGCATAATGAATTCCAAAGTCCCTCAGGGTGGGCTTTCCTTCTAGTTTCCTCTCCTCCAAATTCTATTACTCTAGATTTTGGTGGACTGTGGACCACCTGAGTAAATGCTATCACTAATCACAGTGGCCAAGCCCCCCAAGTAGCATAGTTCTTTTTTTCCTAAGAGATTTTCCTTTGAATTTTTAATTCATAAAAAAGATACACCCTAGAAATCTATATTCCAGAATCTTCCAAGTTAGCAACTGTTAATGCTTGTAGTTAGAAAAGTTACACCAGCAACAGGTCCTCAGTAGAACTCTGGTTGGTACCTAAGCTGCTGTTCATTCAAAAAACCTTTCACACTTTTTAGGAAATTGATGTGGAAGTGAGGAAGGAAATTGAGGATGCTGCCCAGTTTGCCACAGCCGATCCTGAGCCGCCTTTGGAGGAGCTGGGCTACCACATCTACTCCAGTGACCCACCTTTCGAAGTCCGTGGTGCCAATCAGTGGATCAAGTTTAAGTCAGTCAGTTAAGGGGAGCAGAAGGTGAGCCTCTATACCTTCAGGGGCTACTAGACAGTGTTCAGTGTTCTCATCTTGGTTAAGGAGAAAACCCAGTCAGTCAGTCAATGACATGCTTGTAAACGTCCACTTCAGCTAGTAATTGCATGCAGTTTGTACATTGTTGCATTAAAAGATGTTATTGAGTGCTTAGTGTGAATATTATAAAAGATTATTTTTGACTTAGCATATTTGTTCAAAGTATACAACTATTTTAATTATGAAAAGGAAGAACAATTCCTAGTATGCCTGTGCCCCACCACCTTTTTGAGAGGAGACCATTATTGTGGGGCCCCTCACAGGCATACTTATGGTAACAGCCCAGGGCCTCTTGCTGCGTGCAGCAGCCTGTTCACACTGACCATCATTTCTCTTTAAGACACTATTTATTATAATCAGGCAGCAGGACAGGTCCATTTTAAAATAAGACTTTCCTAATCAAAGGCCACATAGTTTTCTGTACTTATACATTCAGTATAATATGAAGCTATTTTCTGTTCATAATAAACATTAAATACAAGGCACATTCGTATCAATGTTGTTTCTCAAATTTAAGTACCATAACAGTTCTGAAGCGAAGCAAGTCCCAGCTTCCATGTTAAACACCCCTTGTTTCACCATTCCAGCAAGTGCTAAAGGATGTACTTTTTTGTTTTTGAGATAGGGTCTCGCTCTGTTGCCCAGGCTGGAGTGCAGTGGTGTGATCAAGGCCCACTGCAGCCTCCACCTCCAGGGCTCAAGCGATCCTCCCACCTCAGCCTCCCAAGCAGCTGGGACCACAGGTGAATTTCCTAATATTCTGGGAGGTCAAAACCAGGGCTCACTGTTCTCACAATACACACAGCTCTATGTTTATAAATAATAGATTTCAAAAGAAACTCAGTATGGACAATATTTAAAACTTTAAGTTCCTGAATAATGGCATTTTTAAAATATGTAAACACGGCAGACTGCATCTATACATTAACAGAAGCTTTAACAAAACATGTAGTGTGGTGGCACACACTGCTCCCAGCTTAGCTGATGATCGGTATCAAGCCTCGTCTTTGGCTTCTGAGGCCTCCTGAGCCCTTCTGTACTGGGAAACCGCGCTCCAGAGCCTGCAGAGGAGACCACCCCTAGGAAACAAACAGCTGTCTTCAGAGTCAGAGCTTCAAGCCAACAGTGCTTAGAAATGCAGCCCCTAACTTACTTAAAAACATTCTCTTCACATATGGAGGAGACACTTGTGTCCCAGCAGTGTTAGGATATGGCCTTAGAGGTATGTACCTGCAGAGCCAGCTATTTCAAATGACGCAGGAACAAGAAGGCAGGCTACAGTTTACAGAAGGGGAGGGGTCCAGCATGTGGGCCCTCAAGCCGTGTGCCTCCCCCACTCCCAGCCAGGCATTAATGGCAGGAGATTGACTGGCCAGCTCCTCTGTCACCTGCCTACTTCTCCTGCGTGGTTTTCAGTTTCTGCCATGCGTTGGCTTTTTCTCAGCTCCGAACTCCAGCGTTTTGAGGGAGGCCCAGCCCTTTGTTTTCTGCTCTTTAAGCATATTCACACATAAAAAGGCGTGTTCTCTTACACAAACTGTTTTGCGGCTCTTACCGTAGTCGAAGGTATCTTAGATCTTCCTTAGTGATCTCATTAAGAATATCAGACAGTGTATAACCCTCTTCAATAATCTGAAATAAAGATCAGATCCATGAGAGCAAGCGGCCGTGTAACAACACCGTAAGAATTTCTTCGTTGTATGTTTACCTTTTCGATTGTCTTTGCATCAGCTCCTTGCAGCTGCAACCAGTCTATAAGCTCTTTATCTGTTCTCTGCCCGTGGAGGGCTGCTGGGCTCTCTGTAATACCTGTACAGTTGGCAATTTGTTACATATTAGTCTAACCATAAAAGTCTTCCAAAGTAACCAGCTGGATGAATAAACGATTCCAGAATGTAAATGCGACGTGAAAAAGAGATGAATTCACCATGCGTCACTCAGCCACTCCAATTCATATTACACAACTCCCAATTCTAAGATTCACTTTCTAGAGAGAAGCCGCTTCATCTAGGATGCCTTCAGTTAATTTGGAACATCACTTGTTAGGTCTACCACTTTAAGTGTTTAGCCCCACATCTTTCAAATGCCTTTCCTTAGGAACCACATCCCTAACTGTGCTGGAAATAGGGTTAAGTGTTGAGGTTTTACGTCAGAGCTTATCTGGTCCACATTCCAAGAGGTAGCTCTGGAGCTCGTTTCTAAGTGGCGCAAAATGAATGTCGGCTGACAGGCATATTTATGTACTTGTGCAGTAAAGCACCCTTTTTAGGTGTCCAGTGTGTTATGAAGGTGGCAGCACGGAGAGAAATGACCATCACTCCCAAAAGCCCTCGTGTCCCCTTTCCTCCCTCTTCTGATTCTGTCCCTGTAGTTTTGCCTTTTCTGGAGGAAAAGAATTCATGGTATGTGGCCTTTTGAATCTTTTTTTTTTTCTTTTTTTGGGACAGTCTGTCACCTAGGCTGGAGTACAGTGGCATAGACCTCGGCTCACTGCAGCCTTGACCATCTGGGTTCAGGTGAGCCTCCCACCTCGGCCTCCTGAGTAGCTAGGACTACCAGGTACACAACACCAAGCCTACTGGTTTTTTTTTTCTCTTCACCCTGTTGCCTTGGCTGGTTTTGAACTCCTGGGCTCAAGTGATCTGCTAGCCTTGGCCTCCCAGAGTGCTGGGATTATAGGTACGAGCCACCACACTGGCTGTGAATCTAGCTCTTTCACTTAGCATACTGCATTTATAATGCAGCCATGGTGCTGAATGTATCAGCAGTCCCTTTTTATTATCGAGTAGTCTAAAATCTACTGGAGTCCTGGTGTAACAAAAGATAACCTCAACAGTTTCTTCAAAGCAAAGCTAACTAGAATATCAGCTAGATTTTAAAGTCTCTGCCTCAAACACACCTAAGAGCAAGTGGAAAATTACTCACGATTTGATTTTAATTTTAACTGAAGGTGATACAATTCTTGAGTTTTCTGTTCTAGAGTTTGCCGCAGGAGATTCTGGTACTCTCTCTCTTTTTGAACTAGGTGTTCCAAAAGTCTGGTTAAAAAAAAAAAGCCATTATCCAGAGAGCATTCAACACCATTCAATTTAACTCAAGCATGTGCTGTGCATACATTAGACACTGGAAAAGTGCAAAATGGGTGAAGTCTAAGAGCCTAGAGAGGGAAATGTGTTTCTGCAGGTTCTGTGAGTCAGACTCCAGTCTGCAGGGGAGAACCTTGTGTTTTTCTCACCTTGACAACAAAGGCCAGTGCTTACAGTTTGGGTTTATTTTTGCAGTGGACTCAATGTGTCCTCCTCACCTGCCCTAAGTTCATCTGTTGAGATCCTAACCCCCAAGGTATGGGATGAGGAGGTGCAGGTTTGAGAGGTAGGTGAGTGGAGTACCCTTGTGAAAGGAAACCCCAGACACTCCCTCATCCCGTCCACCACGTGAGGACACAGAGCAAGAAAACGGCCATCTGCGAATGGGGAGCCAGGCCCTCACTGGCCACAGAATCTGCAGGTGCCTCGATCTTGGACTTCGAGTTTCCAGAACTGTGAGAAACACATTTCTGTTGTTTACAAGCTGCCTGGTCTGGCATTTTGTTGCAGCAGTCTGAAGGCACTCAGGCAGTTTTGTCTCAAAACACACCATGAACCAAAAGATACTGATGATGATCAGTAGAACTCAGCCAGAGGATGACATGATTATTTAAACCTGAGTCAGATAAGGCAGCTGAAACTAGGATAGAATGGTAAGGTTCTTTCCTCCTCACATGGGGTCTAAACCAAGGCCACAGAAGCTCCTCTTTTTTTTGGTTTTTGTTTGTTTGAGACGGAGTCTTCCTGGGTGGCCCAGGCTGGAGTGCAGTGGCGCCACCTCAGCTCACTGGCTCCACCTCCTGGGCTCAAGCGAGTCTTCTGCCTCAGCCTCCCAAGGAGCTGGGACTATAGGCACGTGCCACCACCACAACCAGCTAATTTTGTATTTTTAGTAGAGACGAGGTTTCATCATGTTGGCTAGGCTGTTCTCAAACTCCTGACCTCAGGTGATCCACCTGCCTCGGCCTCCCAAAGTGCTGGGATTACAGGTGTGAGCCACCGCACTGGGTCTTTTTTTTTTTTTTTTTGAGATAGACTCTTGCTGCAGCTCTTGGCTTACTTCAACCTTCGCCTCCTGGGTTCAAGTGATTTTCCTGCCTCAGCTTCCTGAGTAGCTAGGACTAGAGGTGCCTGCCACCACAGCAGGCAAATTATTTTGTTTTTTTAGTAGAGATGGGGTTTCGCCATGTTAGGCTTGTCTTGAATTCCTGACAAGTGATCCACCTGCCTTGGCCTCTCAAAGTGCTGGGGTTACAGGCATGAGCCACCACACCCGGCAGCCCCTAGCTTCTCATAATAACAGCTGGGGCAGGACAGGGACAGTGAGAGAGAGCACAAAGGCTCCTGCCAACATCCACCAAGCACTTCCTACCCAGAATCCAGGACTGCGCCAAACACTGCATGAATTCAATCACTGACACCTTACGGCACTTCTAGGAAGCACCAGTTGTTCTAAACCCCCATTTTGAGGCAGAGCAGTTAAGTAATGCCCAGAGTCCACAGGCTAGGCTCTTGCCATAGGACCGCCTCCTGACACCCAGTCTTGCTCATGGCTCTCTGGGATCTTAGGCACAGTGGTGCCTCACACTTACGAGTCCCCACATGCCAGCTTGGGGATAGCATGCCTTGGGGGAGAGGACTGGCACATTGGAGCCATGTCTAGCTTTTCTTGGGGCTTAGACAACAGTGCCTCAGCACAAATGGCCTCAGCAGCAGCAGTTTTTCCCCTGACCACCTCCTGCCTCCCTCTCTCAGTCCCATTCTCCCCTAGGTGCCATAAAAACTAGAATCCCCCTTCCCCAAATGGGGCATAGAAACTTCCCCCCAAACCCAGCCAAAAACCCTAAAAATATGACTAACTTTCCCTCTGCCTTTCTGCGTAAAAATTGGTCACAAATTCTTCAGGTCAGGCGTGGTGGCTCACGCCTATAATCCCAACACTTTGGGAGGTCGAGGCAGGTGGATCACCTGAGGTCAGGAGTTTGAGACCAGCCTGGCCAACATGGCGAAACCCCATCTCCACTAAAAATAAAAAATTAGCCAGGCATGGTGGTGCTTGCCTGTAATCCTAGCTACTGGGGAGGCTGCGGCAGAAGAATCGCTCAAACCCGGGAGGCAGATGTTGCAGTGAGCAGACATCGCACCACTGTATTCCAGCCTGGGTGACAGAGCCAAACTCCATTTAAAAAAAAAAAAGTTCTTCGACCTAGTTTGTTTGACTGTAGGTCATTAAGACCCCCATTCCAGAGGGTCCTGCCCCACATGCAGGAGAAAAGAATGCTGCTCAGAGAGCCCAAGAAGAATCTGGACAGGCAGGCCTTGCTGGGTTTCCCCACTCAGCAGGCCCTTTTTATCCCTGTTTCTCCACAGTTCTCCATACTTTGTTAAGCCTAAGCATAAAAATGGACAATCTCCCCTGGATCTTTGGGTCTTCATGCTGAAGGCTCCCGTGTATACATGGTAAATACATTTGCATGCCTTTTTTCTGAACAGCCTCGTGCTGGCGGTTTTCAGCAAACCTCCAGGGGCCAAGGGCCTTGGCTCCCACGCTTTTCTTGTTTACTCACATACCTGGTACACAGAATTTGTTTCTTAACTGTGTTCCTTTAATATGATCCATGCTGGTGAACCTGGGACTATAGAACTAAGCTTTACTGAACTTACTGAAACCCCGTCTCTACTAAAACTAGAAAATTTAGCTGGGTGTCGTGGCAGGCGCCTGTGGTCCCAGGTACTCAGGAGGCTGAGGCAGGAGAATCCCTTGTACACAGGAAGTGGGGGTTGCAGTGAACCAAGGTCGCGCCACTGCACTCCAGCCTGGCGACAGAGGAAAAACTCCATCTCAAAAAAAAAGAAGGAATTACTGAATTACTGAAGGTAATTACTGAAGTTGCCATGAGAAGTCACTGCATAGTAGAGAGATGCGAACACAGGAACTCCTGGGTTATTTGGTAGCAAAGTGGGGTGGGGAGAGGAGAACACTTCCACACTAGCGCAACAGTGAAGAGGAGACACTGGCGCTCAGCAAACGGAAGTCCTCTCCCAGCCCTCCCCTGCCTGCCTTCATTCTGGCCTCTGTAGGAGTCCTCCTTCCGTGTTAGTGAAGGAGACAGCTCAAGCTCTTGCCTCTATCCAGCAGGAAAGGCTCTCAGTACTGTCATTCATCACGACAGATACATCATCCTGTCTAAGAGGTGCCATCTTCCTTCAGCTCTGCTCAACTGCCGTACAGCCAAGGCACTTCATAACACAGTGATATGGTTTGGGTGTCCCCACCCAAATCTCATCTTGAATTGTAGTTCCTGTAATACCCTCATGTTGTGGGAGGGACCCAGTGGGAGATAAATGAATCATGAGGGTGGTTCCCCAACACTGTTCTCATGGTAGTGAATAAGTCTCAAGAGATCCGATGGTTTTATAAAGGGAAGCCTCTTTCACCTGGCTCTCATTCTCTCATCTGCTGCCCTGGAAGACGTGCCTTTCACCATGATTGTGACACCTCCCCAGCCATGTGGAACTGTAAGTCCATTAAACCTCTTTTTCTTATAAATTCCCCAGTTTCACATTTGTCTTTATCAGCAGCATGAAAACAGACTGATACACACAAGGATAGGCACCCTACGCAGGAAAGTACAGTTCACATCAATGCCATTCACTGACCGGCCACTGTCTAACCACTGAGACTGGAAAATAACACGATGACTATCAGCAGTGGAGAGGAATAACCTTCAAACCCACACACAATCAGTTTATGACTTTGATGATGATAAATCTTATTGGGCGACCCAGCAACCCCCATTACTGGATTTATGCCCAAAGGAATATAAATCGTTCTATTATAAAGATACATGCACATGTATGTTCTTGCATGTATCTTTATAATAGAACGATTTATATTTATATCACACTATTCACAATAGTGAAGACATGGAACCATCCTAAATGTCCATCAATGATAGACTAGGTAAAGAAAATGCGGTACATGCACACCATGGAATACTATGCAGCCATAAAAAGGAACAAGATCAGGTCCTTTGCAGGGACATGATTGAGCTGGAGGCCATTATCCCTAGCAAACTAACACAGGAACAGAAAACCAAACACCACATGTTCTCACTTGGAGCTAAATGATAAGAACACATGGACACACAGAGGGGATCAGCACACATGGAGGTCTGTCAGAGGGTGGGAGGAGGGAGAGGGCCAGGAAAAATAACTAACGGGTACTGGGCTTAATACCTGGGTGATGAAACAATCTGTACAAGACACCCCATGACACACATTTACCTGTGTAACAAATCTGCACTTGTACACCTGAACTTAGAAGTTAAAAAACATTTACTGGGAAAAGATATTAAAGAAATACTAGGTATTATTACCAACTTTAATATCTGTTATATTTTTAAAAGTTTCAAAATGTTGCCACCTCTACCATTTAACGAAAACTCTGGGTCTTTTAAAAAAGAAATGATTAGATGACCTGTCTAAGATTGAACTTGAGAGATCCCTCACAGCATAAACAACTTTTCATCCAAAATATGTAGCTGGCCCCTTGTCTGCCAGTGAAATAGTCATCAACATCACTCACCCATGATCATACAGCACCGAAGTGTCATGTGGACCGAGTACCAACTTGTTTGCTATAACTATGGATTACTTTAGAAAACCCAATCACGCAGCTGACAATGTGATTCCCAAGAGCAAATGGGAAGAATTTTACTCATTTCACAAATAGTTATTCTTTTTTTTTTTTTTTGAGACGGAGTTTCACTCTTCTTGCCCAGGCCGGAGTGCAATGGCGCGATCTCGGCCCACTTTAACCTCCGCCTCCTGGGTTCAAGCAGTTCTCCTGCCTCAGGCTTCCAAGTAGCTGAGATTACAGGTGCGCCCCAACATGCCTGGGCTAATTTTGTAGTTTAATTAGAGATGGGGTTTCACCATGTTGGTCAGACTGGTCTTAAATTCCTGACCTCAAGTGATCCACTCACGTTGGCCTGTTGTGCTGGGATTACAGGTGTGAGCACCGCACCCGGCCATTTCACAAATACTTATTAAGCACCCACTATGCCAGGAAGTGAACAAAACAGACCAGTGCACTAGAGGAATATGATGGTGATGCCAGGGTCCCCTGGTTAGAGCAGTTCTCTAATACCCGTCTAGGGACATGGAAGAGATGACAAACCACATGGAAGAGATGACAACAGGACAAGCTTCCTTGGGGTTGAGGTTATGGGATATGCATCCACTGACGAAGTGCTACCCAACCCCCAAAGCCCACTACTTCTGCAGGGGCAGGCTGCTGCACCTGTGAGACCACATACCATGCCAGAGGCCCAGTCTTGGTGAAAAGAGAAAGAGAAGGAATTCAGAGATGCTGCTGCCTTTAGTATGGGTAATTTCTGTGTGGCCTGGGGCAAGGTACTACACCTCTCTGAATCTTTTTTTTTTTTTTTTTTTTTTTAAAAAGAAGGTATTCCTCTAGTCCCTCAGTTGAGGCTGACAATATGCCCTTACCCAGTTCATGGATGATGAAGCTGCATTTTGCTCAACAACCAAACCGATGAATCAGCATCTTGGTGGCTCAGGCCACTGTCCCAGCCCCTCTCCCAGCGGAGGGCCCGGAAGCTCCTCACCTGTTGGTCTCCTGCCTCAGCTCACCCAGCTGGAGGCTCAGGTGCTGCTGGTGAGGCTGGGGCTCCTGGCCAGGTCCGGCCACTGGGAGATAGCCCTCTTCTGCTTCATCTGTGTCCTTATCTACCCCTTCAGCCTCAGAGGCAGGCTCAAAGTGGGCTCGAAGCTCTGCGAATCACACAAGACGTGACCATGGTGAGCAAACCAGCATGTCTACATGGTCAACAGGGACTGGGGTCGCAAATGCCCCGGGACAGCAAACCAGGCTGTTAGGAAGCTGGCCTGGCCCGTGCCATACTCCATCAGGGGACTACTGACTTTACAAACAGAGGAGACCATTCCATTTGGTTTTCTGCTGATCACACTTTCCAGAGGAAGAAACTGAGGCTTAAGAATGTGAAGTTGGCCAAGGCCAGCATTCAAAAGGTATAACCAGGCCCGGTGCAGTGACTCATGCCTGTAATCCCAGCACTTTGGGAGGCCAAGGTGGGTGGGTCACTTGAGGTCAGGGGTTCAAGGGCCAACATGGTGAAACCCCATTTCTACCAAAAAATAGATACAAAAATTAGCCAGGCATGATAGTGTGTGCCCCTGTAATCCTAGCTAGGCTGATGCATGAGAATCACTTGAACCCAGGAGGTGGAGGTTACAGTGAGCCGCGACTGAGCCACTGTACTCTAGCCTAGGGGACAGAGCAAGGCTCGGTCTCTTAAAAAAAAAAAAAAAAAAGGTACAGCCAGGCCACCCAAGCCTGTGCCATGTTACTACAGAAGGTGTCTGCTTGGAGTGGGAGAGGAATTAAGCACTGAGGTCTCCCAAGCCTCTCCTGTAGCGGAGCCTGGGCTACACAGTGCACTCAGGAGGGCGGGCCACAGCCGATCAGCAAGGGGCTGAAGGAAAGGGGGAAACAGTGATGGCAACAGAACGGGCTACAAAGCCTCCCTTAGCAGGAAGAAGTAACCGGAGAAAGAGAATCAACTTTGGTAACATTTCAAAAAGGAAATATACAAAAAGCAAAGTTTTTAAAAAATTTTTATTTTTTAGACAGAGTCTCACTCTTGTCACCCAGGTTGTGCAGTGACATGATCTCAGCTCACTGCAACCTCTGCCTCCTGGGTTCAAGTGATTCTCATGCATCAGCCTCCTGAGTAGCTGAGACTACAGGGGAGGCATTCCTGAGGGCATGCTGAGGTGGATACCAGGGGACTGGAGGATTGTTTCCCTCCAGCCCCATGCTCCCTTTTTATTTAAGTTGTTCATTCATTCATTTATCATGTTCCCCTTTTATTTTATTTTTAGTTATTTATTTAATTGAGATGGAGTCTCACTCTGTTGCCCAGGCTGGAGTGCAGTGGCACGATCTTGGCTCACTGCAACCTCCACCACCTGGGTTCAAGCAATTCTCCCCACTCAGCCTCTCTAGTAGCTGGGACCACAGGCCTGCGCCACCGTGCCCAGCTAAATTTTTGACATTTTTAGTGGAGATGGGGTTTCACCATGTTGGCCAGGCTGGTCTTGAACTCCTGACCTCAGGTGATCCACCTGCCTCAGCCTCCCAAAATGTTGGGATTACAGGTGTGAGCTACTGCGCCCAGCCCCATGCTCCCTTTTGAGATCATGAGTTTAGTTTATGTGCAGTCACCTTCATTATGCTTCGGACATGTAAATACAACACCATGAGATACTCTCAGAAGCACAGACTCGGCCCTGGAAGGGGTCTACGACAGCATGCATTTAACTGCAAGGAAGCAGATAACCAAGATGGAAAAGAAAAAAGCAACAATTGTTACATGAAGAGGATATGACGGCCTAAAGCTGCCCTTGACCACAAAGGGGGTGCTCACCTGGGATGAGAATGGTGACCGCAGCCTGCACCGCTCGGCGGATGATGTTGTCCATGGCAAACATCCAGTGGGGCCTAATTAAGTGGTTCCTCAAGATTTTATTTACCTGAAAAAAAAAATCACAAAAATCCAGATTTCCGGTGCATTGCACGGATAATCATGGCAACCTATACTCATCCTCCTGGGGGCCGCATGCAGTCGGCCCGCTCACACAGATGCCATTTCCTGGACTTCATTGTTTAGGAGGAGCTGCTGAAGCTCAGGATTCGGGTGTACACAGTTAAGAAGAGATTGGGGCTATAGGAGGAGACGATAACGGAATTCCATGATCTGGTGTGTTCCCTAGGGCCAGATGGAGCACTTACGGCATCCTGAAATCCAAACAGCACCAGGTGAATCTGACTGATGGACGAGCTGTCAAAGTCCAGGTCCACCTTGAGCTTTGATATTGTGGTCGCCATCACCCGGTGCTCTGGGGAGCGGATGAAGTCCCTCAGGATGCCAATGATTTGCTTGATGTGGCCAACTGAGAGGTGCAGCTCTTCGGAACTCTGACCACACACACAAATCGTTTTCATTGAGTCAGTTGGGGAGAGAGAGCAAGAACTCAGAACATACTGTGGGAAACGAGATGGTCCATTTGCTAAGGAGCTTGTGGAAGCCCCGGGTGAGAAGGGGTCTCTGTCTATTCCTGGAATTCCTTCCATAACCTTCCTGTCAGGGTTCTGGCCCCTTCTTCCTGGTGGGTACACAGCTAAGCCCTTCGGTGAATGGTTTCCTCTTTAACCCCTTGTAAGAGCCCCCATCAAGGACACAGACATGGTTCATAGCAGAGCAGCAGCCTCTTCCTAAAGGGCCCTTTTCCATCCAAAATAAGGGAGGGGGTCTGGTCATGGTGGCCCACACCTGTAATCCCAGCACTTTGGGAGGTCTAGGCAGGTGGATCAGTTGAGGTCAGGAGTTAGAGACCAGCCTGGCCAACATGGTGAAATCCCGTCACTACAAAAAATACAAAAATTAGCTGGGCGTGGTGGCGGGCACCTTGTAATCCCAGATACTCAGAAGGCTGAGGCAGGAGAATCACTTGAACCTGGGAGGAGGTGGAGGTTGCAGTGAGCCAAGGTCATGCCGCTGCACTCCAGCCTGGGGGACAGAGTGAGACTGTCTCAAAAAAATAATAATAATAAGATAAAGGGCTGGGTACAGTGGCTCACGCCTGTAATCTCAGCACTTTGGGAGGCTGAGGTGGTCGGATCACGAGGTCAGGAGTTTGAAACCAGCCTGGCCAACATGGTGAAACCTCATCTCTACTAAAAATACAAAAAAAATTAGCCGGGCGTGGTGGTAACACGCCTATAATCCCAGCCTCTTGGGAGGCTAAGGAAGGAGAATCACTTGAACCCAGGAGGTGGAGGTTGCAGTGAGCTGAGATCATGCCACTGCACTGCAGCCTGGGCGACAGAGCGAGACTCTGCCTTGGGGGGGAAAAAACATAAACTGAAAGAAGGGAGGGGGACCCGTTTGCCAGTCCTGTGCCCTAGTTCAAACTCACTTGTTTTCAGCCATAACCACTCTCCCCAAGGTGGCTGGCTGTTCTCCCAGCTTCTGAGGGCAGCTCTAACATGTCCTACAGCTGGGGATACTCCAGGACTCAAAAGCCCATCAGGAGAGAAGCCAGAGAAGGTGCTTCTGGCTTTCTGCTACCATCTGGCTGGTTTTCCACCAGGGGGCAGCACCGCCCCACCAACGCCTGGAATCACTGCAGTGTCTGCAAATTCATGTTTCAGCAGAGCTTTTTTCTTTGTATTTTCTTTTGTTTTGCTGGGGAAGGGAAGGACATTGGGGAGACATTCACGGTGATCACTGTAACTATGCAGATGTTCCAGGGTGGCAGGAGCCACGGTCCCTGTCTGGACCTGGGACCTGGGCAGAGGGAGCGGGAGGAACCAGTGGCCTCCCTCTGGCAGGTACCTGAGCCACGCACTCCTGCAGGTTGGAAGCCACCTGGTTCTGCTCCTCCCAGAGGATTTTGTACAGGATGGCGCGGCGCTCACTGTCCTTGCGTAGCAGGAAGAGGCCCTGGTCCCTGTCCTCTGGGGACGAGGCCAAGCCCCGGTCTTCCAAGGTTGAGCTCTCATCTGGAACACTGTGGACAAACACGTGTGACAATTGCTGTGCATTCCAGAGCACTGTCCCTGGGAGTATGTCATGTTAGGATGCCGTGGTGGAGGGGCTGAGAGGTAACTGCAATGCACTCTCTGTGCTCAAGAAGATGAAATTGCCAGAAGGACACAGACAGGCAGTGCTAGGTCAACCCCCACAGCACTGGCCATGAAGGGGGAGAGTAGAAGGAGGGGGAGGCAGGTTAAAGGAACCTCCCAGGAGAGGGGGAGGAGGGAGGGGGAAGGGGGCTAGCACAGGAGGAGAGGTGAGGGAGGGAAGGTAAGGGGGATGACGGGGAAGGAGGAAGACAGAGGCAGGAAGAGGAGGATGAGAGGAAGAGGGGGCCGGAAGATGAAGGGATAGAGGGTGGAGGGTAGGTGAGGGGGAGAGGTGAGGGGGGAAGAGGTGAGGGGAGAAAGAAGGGGAAGAGGAGAGAAGGGGAAGTGCTGAGGGAGAGGGGAGAGAGAAGGGAAGACAAGTGGGGGAGGGTACACATGGGGAATGAAAGGACAGGGAGGGCCAGTAAGGGACAGCAGGTGAACAGAGTGCCCTCACTGCTGGGATGGGGCCGCCAGGCCACCCTACTGACCTGCAGAAAGGAAGCAAAACCTCTCAGTGGCCATCTGGCCAGGATCAGGGAGGTGCCCCATGGCAGAAGACTGCCAGCACCTTCTCTGGGGCCCGCAGCAGAGGGACAGGACGTGGGCATACCTGAGAAGGTGGCCAAGGTGAGGCCTGGGCGCCCGGGTCCTCTCAAAGAGCACATCGGGATGGGCCTCGGAGTCCGGGGAGATGGAGCCATGCTCGCTGCTGCTGGTGGCCATGGGCTCCCCCTGTGCGGGCAGGGCCAGGATGACACCCCGCGGACCCTCTGTGGGGGACAGCCAGACACAGAATGGGGAGGCTCAGAGAGGGGCGGAATGAGGCTGAGCCCCAGCAGCCCCTCAAGCTTAGGTGAACCACGCAGGCTCCCAGGATCCTGGGGAAATGAGGGTTGGGTGGGGGACAGGCCCCAGGTGCTGCATTTCTACTCAGGTGTCTGCAGTCGGGGGACGGGAGGGGGATGGGGTCCCTCATGGAGCAAGCTGCTGGGCCACTCTGTGGAACTTCTGACCCAGATCCATACCAGGGAAAAGAGGACAAACAGCCTCTTTCTCAGGGGCCATTCTACGTCACTGCCACTTAGAACTGACTGCCCCAGAAGGTGTCACTGGGCTTTGATGGCCTGCAGGACAGCCACTCCAGGCAAACCTCCCTGATACATCCTTTCATCAAGGTCAGGGCTGGCACAGGATGACAGGCCAGGCTGCAAAAGCGAAGGCCCAGGCTCTGTACATGGGGAAGACCCGAAACCCCAGCTGGGGTAACTCTTCCCTCCCCACTCTCCTCCCAATCCGGAGGAACCAGTTCCAGCAGAGGGCAGCCCAGCCACCCAGACTCCGGGTCCTCTGTCAGGAGATCCTCCTGCACTGAAAGGTTGGACTGTGACAACCTCCAAACCTACTGCACAGTCCCCCCATCACTCTTCACAAAAACAGGCATGACATGGGTGGCCCAGCACGCTGGACAGCCGGAACTCTCCCTCCTGAACAGCAGAGACGTCCGGGGCCCAGCATCCACCCGACCAAGGGCACCGCCCCAGCAGTCCAGGGAGGCCTCACCTGAGGGCTTGAAGGCAATTCGGTTTTTCTTGCCCTTGTTCACCTGTCTTAAGAACCCCTCTCTGAGTAGCTCAGTGGTGGTGGCACGTTTGTGGGGGTCAGGCTCGAAACAGGATAAAATGAAGGCTCGGGCTTCAGCTGAAAGGGCTTCTGGAATCTCAGGGTGGATCTTAAACATGCCCACCTGCATTGAAGGGAGAGGTGAACTCAAGGATCCACGACTCAGTCCAAAGCTCCCGCACACCTGGCATCCCAGGAGGGGCATGACCCACACGCCTTTGCGATGTCGTGTTCATGCTCCTCCCACTCTGAGGTGGAGTTCGTTTCCCCCTCCCGGGCATCTTGTGACTTGACTTTGACCGTGGCAGAAGTGGGACGGTAGGAGTTTCAGAGCCTGGGCCTCAAGAGGTCTTGTAGCCCCGCTTAGTCCCCCTTAAAGCCCGAGACCACCATGCAGAGAGGAAGCCCAGGAGGCACCACCCCGTGAAAAGGATGCCCAGCCATCCCAGCTGGAATCCAGCCACCAGGGAGGGGCCCTTAGGTCACCCTGCTCCGGCCAAACCACCACTGGCTACAACCACGTGAGTCAGCCCAGACAACACCCACAGAAGAGCCAACAGTCAGCTCACAGAAGTGAGAGGAAAAACTCATCATTTTGGCTGGACACAGTGGCTCATGCCTGTAATCCTAGCATATTGGGAGGCTGAGGTGGGCAGATCATGAGGTCAAGAGATTGAGACCATCCTGGCCAACATGGTGAAACCCTGTCTCTACTAAAAATACAAAAAATTCGCCAGGCATGATAGCGTGCACCTGTAGTCCCAGCTACTTGGGAGGCTGAGACAGGAGAATCGCTTGGACCTGGAAGCGCAGGTTGCACGGAGCCAAGATCACGCCCCTGCACTCCAGCCTGGGTAAAAGAGCAAGACTCTGTATCAAAAACAAAACAGAACAAAAACAAAAAGAACCTCATCGTTTTAAGCTTCTGAGGTTTCAGGATGGTTTGGTACATAGCAGAAGAGAACTGAGATAGGACTTGGGCCACAGCATGGGGCGGGATGTCCTCCAGGCATACTCAAAGGCATCTGTTACCCGTTACCTGTCCCCTGACACACAAGGTCCCCCAAGAGATGCCTTTAACACCTCTCACTCCCTCTGCATCCACAGCCCAGATTCCCAGCCTCCAGCTCAAAACCACAAGCAGACAAAGCCTTGAGGCTGCCAATGTAACTAATGGCTCTCTGTCCCTGTGACCTGTGGGGAGCAAGAGTTGGTTCTGAGCTGTCACATCTCCAGGTGACAAGGGCATGCTGCCACGACATCTTACGTAGCTCCCTCCTGCATAACTGTCCCCATCAGGGTAGACCTCTCATCTTTCTAGGGCTTGTCACCATCAGTTTCACAGTCCACTCTGCGTCTTTGCCCAGCCCACCCAACAACCCAGGCGTGGAAGCTGCTCTGTCCTCCAGACCCACACCCATTCCCAATTCCTCAGCACTCCTGGGGTCTGGCTTGGCCCCCAGGAGCCCTGCCGAGTGAGCTCAGGGTGCTGCCAAGAGTAGAGGGCAGGGCCTCCCGACTTCGTGTCCCTAAGACCCTTGACCTGGCGGCCGCGGCCATGTGCTGTTTCAACGCACCGCTCCTCCTGGCCAGGCTGCACAGCTCAGGAGTTAGGGATTGGAAGAAAACTAAATGCTGGGTGAAACCCCACTGACAGCTCTGCAATGCAGGGCACCTGACAGGTGGCTTCTGTCACCTGAGCGGTAGGGAGGTAAGCTGGCAGTGCCCACAGGAACTAGGGTACAGAGACCAACATCCAGGCAAGAACATCAAGAGGAAAGGGTGGCCTCTCCCCTGGTCTCCAGAAAAAGGCAGCAAATGTAGGCAGCACACCGACACCTGGCCGGGACATCCTCTTTAAGGGCACTTGGCTGTTACCCAAAAGCTCCTCGTATTGGTCTCCTAGGGCCACTGTGACAAAATCCCACAAACTGGGTGGCTGAAACAACAAGCGCTCATTGTCTCACCGTCCTGGAGGGTGGAAATCCAAGAGCCAGGTGTTGGCAGGACCAGCAACTCCTGATACATGTAGGGGGTCCCCCTTTGCCTCTTCCAGCTTCCTGTGATCCACAGGAGGTCTCTGGTGCTCCTTGGCTGCTAGATGCACCCTCACTCCTCTGCCTGCCAGAGGCATTCCCCTGGGAATTGCAATCTGTCTTCTCTCTGAGCATGTGTGTCCAAATCTCTACCTCCACCCCCCAAGTTTTTGAGACAGGGTCTCCCTTGGTTGCCCAGGCTGGAGTGCAGTAGCATAATAAGATCTCACTGCAGCCTCCAACTCCTGGGCTCAAGGTATCCTCCCCCCTCAGCTTCCTGAGTAGCTGGGACCACAGAGGTGTGCTCCACCACATGGGCTAATTTTTTTTTATCTTTTGTAGACACAAGGGTCTTGCTATGTTGCCCCGGGCAACCTTGAACTCCTGGCCTCAAATGATCCCCCTGCCTCAGCCTCCCAAAGTGCTGGGATTATAGGGGTGAGCCACCGCACCTGACTCAAATATTTCCCCCCCTTTTAAAGACACCAGGCTGGTCTGTGCAGCGGCATTTGCAGCTAGCCGATGGCCACCAGGTCAGATTCCTTTGTTCCTTCTCCACTCCCACTGTTTCACTTGACTAGTTAAAAAAAAAAAAAGAAAAGAAAATTAAAACAAGAACAAAAAGTATAAAGACACCAGTCATACTGGATGAGGGGACACTTTCCAGACCCCATTTTCATTTGATTTTCTCTGTAAAAACCTTATTTCCCAAGAAGGCCACACTCTGAGGTACTGGGGGTTAGGACTTCCATCTATCATTTTCAGGTGACACAAGATAAATCTGTAACAGTCCCTTTGGGGGAAAAGAGCGATTCCTTTGTTTCAGACACTGCTCAGAAGTTTCTTGAAATATTCCTAAAGTAGTTTAGAATCCCGGAAACAACACAGGGCCATTACTCACTTAATACCATTGTCATTGGCAATGGAAAGTGACTTCAGAGCCATCCAAAAGAGTCAATGTATTTTCAAAGCCTTTGTACAGGCTGGGCACGGTGGCTCTTGCCTGTTATCCCAGCAGTTCAGGAGGCCAAAGAAGGTGGATCACTGGAGGCCAGGAGTTCAAGACCAGCCTGGCCAACATAGTGAAACCCAGTCTCTAATAAAAATACAAAATTGCCAGGCATGGTGGCACATGTCTATAATCCAGGCTACTCAGGAGGCTGAGGCAGGAGAACTGCTTGAACCCGGGAGGCAGAGGCTGCAGTGAGCCAAGATCACACCACTGCACTCTAGCCTGGTTGACAGAGCAAGACTCTGTCTCAAAAAAAAAAAAAAAAAAAAAAGCCTTTGCACCATGAATTAGCTAAACAAAACAAGGGAGGCAGGGAGCGGCTCAAGCCCTGTGCATGAATGGAGCCAGTCACAGCCTCAGCTCTCTCCCAAGTCTCCCCAGAAGTCAGCAGCGGCTCAGAAAGCAGCCAGCCGTGGCTCTCAGGTGGGCCTCATGTTTTCCTCCTCACCAGCTGCTGTTTATTCCAAGGCTGCCATGGGAGCCGTGGGTCAGATCTACAATAGCCCCAACAGGGTCCACCGCAGATGGTAAAAGTGCTAAGGAATGCCAGAGCTGTCTTCCAGCCCAGGCACTCAGCATCCTCTTGCAATTGCAGGTGTCGGAAGACTCTTGTCGACTTGAGGTCTTGGCCTTGGTGCTGAACCCAAGCAGCTGATAGGAGGGTGAGAAGCTCTGAGAACCTTCCGCAGGTGTCTGGCTGGGCTGGAGAGAGCAGCCAAGGCACCCGAGCATGCAACACTGTATGCACTGCCCGCACCTCAACCGGTAGAAACTCGCACTCACACCTCCAAGTTCCTTCTGCCCAAGAGGCCAAGCAGGGAGCCCGGCACAGAGGCCATGAAGACGTTACATTTGGTAGAAACACCAGGAAGAGGCCGCTGGAATCACGTTCTGTCAGGGCGGTGTCCACGCACTGTGGCCCCATCATCCATAAGCAATGGCCATTCGGCCTTCTGTGACCCTGCTCTCTCAGGGCAAGCAAAAGTGTTCCATGGAAGGTCAGTGCTGGTAAGAGCATCCTAGGGCTAGAGCCCTGACTAGTCCATTCTCATGCTACTATGAAGAAATACCCGAGACTGGGTAATTTATAAAGAGGCTTAATTGACTCAGTTCCACGTGGCTGGGGAGGCCTTAGGAAATTTACGATCATGGCAGAATACCCCTCTTCACAGGGCGGCAGGAGAGGCAATGAGAGCCAGTGAAGGGGGAAGCCCCTTATAAAACCATCAGATGTCATGAGAACCCACTATCACAAGAATAGGATGGGGGAAATCCCCCCCATGATTCAATTATCCCCACCTGGTCCTTCCCAGGGACCAGGGGAATTATGGGAACTACAATTCAAGGTAAGATTTGGGTGGGGACACAACCAAACCATATCAAGCCCCTTAAATGTTTCTAAGTATACATGAAGCCAGAAGCCGCACACCTAACCGTGGTACACAGGGCTGTCCTGGCATCAGCTTCCCATGAGGTCACAAAGAAGGACATCCCTTTCCACAATCTCAGCTGCTCAGCAGTAAAACCCCCACCCACAATGGTCAAGATTCACCATACTACGCTGGCCCCAGCACATGGGCTGCCCTTCCTATTAGCTCCAGGAGGGGTGCTGGAATGATAATGGATATATTTACCTGATAGCCAAACTCCTACCTCTGCAGAAGCCAGTCAGAAACCTGCCCCCCAAAGGCACAGATTACACATGGCTTTGAGCCCTACCCACTGTAAGAGCAAACATGAAGGGAAACTAAGGGGCTAGATTCTCCCTGTTGAAAATAAGGGGAAAGGTCCCCCACCCCAACAGCACCCTGCCCAGCTTTCTTAGAGCCTTGACTTTAGACAACTGTAAGGTTCTTTCTCTGAGATACATGTGAATCTTTTTAACAGCTAAATAAGCCTCTGACAGAAATGTCTTTCTCAAGGACCTGGAAGCCATCTCTTTGAAATGTAATCATCAAAGAAGGTAGGGCCTCTATCTCCTAGCTTCTTTTTTTTTTAAACTTGTCATCTTTTATTAATTTTTTCATAATTCTGCTCTCCCCAGAAATAGGAAGGTAGGTTTCTAACTTTGGTGGTAGCTTCACTCCAAAACTACCTACTGTCTTAAAGATATGAGAAATTTATTTTTTCCTTTTTTTTTTTTTGAGGCCGGAGTCTTGCTCTGTCACCTAGGCTGGAGTGCAATGATGCGATCTCAGCTCACTGCAACCTCCACCTCCCAGGTTCAAGCAATTCTCCTGTTTCAGCCTCCCAAGTAGCTGGGATTACAGGCACACACCACCACATCTGGCTGATTTTTGTTTTTATTAGAGGAGGGGTCAACAAACCCCTGACCTCAGGTGATCCACCTGCCTCAGCCTCCCAAATTGCTGGGATTACAGGCATGAGCCACTACACACAGCCTATTTTTTCCTTTGGATGAAGCCAAACCATGAAGACAAATGGTCACCCAATCACAGGTGAATCTAAGATGAGCTTCATGTGACCAATGGTGCTGCCAAGTTGTTTTACTTGAGGACACAGATGTCACAGGTTGTGTCTGCTCGGCTCTATCAAAGGGTGAGTGGATTGCCTGTGATACATCTTACATTCTGGTTTAATGCTTATTCACTAATAAAACTGCTTCCTGCTCTCCTGTCTTTGTGGAGAGGTTTTCTGGATTGGGAGGAGACTGTTTCTAATTCGACTTCCCAACCACCCGCAACCTCAATCACGAAGCATGACTTACTTTGAACATGGCTGCCTGTGGCTCACCGAGCTCATGGAACGGAGGCTTGCTGGTGGCCATCTCGATGATGGTGCAGCCCAGGGACCAGATATCAGCCGGGGCACCATACCCACGAGGCCCCTGATCAATGATCTCCGGTGCCATGTACTGCAGGGTGCCTATTTGGAAAGCAAACAAACACACTGTGGGTACCTGTATTGCTTAGAAACTAAGTGGTCCACAGTCCCAGCTGCTCGGGAGGCTGAGGCAGGAGGATCACTTGAGCCCAGGTGTTAAGACCAGCCTGGGAAATACAGCAATACCTTGTCTCAAAAACTAAACAAAACAAAAACCCACCACTAACTGTTTAATGAATGGCCTCATGAATGGCAGATGGAGTCCTGTCCCATGCATAAATAATATGGTTGCTTCTTTTTTTTTTGAGAGTCTCACTGTGTTGCCCAGGCTGGAGTATAGTGGGGTTATCTTGGTTCACTGCAACCTCTGCCTCCTGGGTTCAAGCGATTCTCATGCCACAGCCACCCAGGTAGCTGGGATTACAGGCACATACCACCATGCCTGGCTAATTTTGTATTTTAGTAGAGACGGGATTTCACCATGTTGGCCAGGCTGGTCTCGAACTCCTGACCTCAGGTGATGTGCCTGTTGGCCTCCCAAAGTGCTGGGATTACAAGCGTGAGCCACTGTGCCCAGCCCGGTTCTATCTTTCTTTGACCAGAGACATGCAACACGCCTTCCTTTACTACTAATCATGAGAGAAGACTGCCTGGTCCCTCGAAGCACATGCTGAATACAGGGAGGCCAGAATGCGAGAAACACAGCCTGATGGTAAGGAGCTGCCTAGTGGAGGAGACGGAATGCTGGCAGCGGTGGCAGTAATGGCAAACTGTGGTAGGTGCTAGGACAGAGAAATAACAGAAGGCTATGAAAACATTAATAAAACAGGGTTTGACTCTGCCTGGTTCAGGTCAGGGAAATCTAGGGCTCTGTCCATTTGGGTCTCTGAGGAGTAAATGCCAAGATGAGGTGAGACATACAAGAGATTTATTGGGGAGAAGGTCGCTGAAGGACAATGCTGGGCAGGCAGGGCCAGCTGCAGACCACACAGCAGGCCAACACCTGGGAGTGGAGAGGAAGGCAAATTCAGACAGGGAGAATCGCAGATGGCAGAGCAGCCCGGAGAGGGCTTCAGCCAGGCCTCTGGGGAGTCTGCAGCCCAGAGTTGTCCACTGGAAGAGTCCCAGCTAGGTTCCAGCACCCCCGCCAGGCTCAGGCCTTGGTGGGGAGCAGCCTGGGTAAAGCGTGACTTTGCTGGGTTGGGACCTGGGGCTGTCAGGGAAGCAGGGTCCTACTGTGAAGGCTGGAGAGCTGGACAAAGGGGACCATGGTGTGAGATAGACAGCGGGTCCGGGACGAGCGGTGTCTGACACAGGGCAGGGTGTGGGAAGAGTTAAGGAGGCAATGGCAAGGGCACAGGCCCAGTGGCAAGCTGCGTGGGCCCAGGGCTCTGGCTCTGGCTCTGGACGTGCTCCTGTGGGACATGAGCTACCAGAGGTGTGCCACGGGAAGGTGGCGATCAGCTGTGGAGGCAAGAAGTTGAAGGATCATTGAGGGCAGACAGCATGCAGGGAGGGCAGTCAAGGGCTCTGCAAAGAAAATTCTTTGTTTTCCTTGAAACACAGCCTGTGCAAAGGGGACACGTGTGGAAGTGACAGCAGATACTGAGGGCTGGCAAAGAGGTTTAGAAGAAGACAGCAAAGTCAGATGACCTTGGCCACGCACGAACAGAACACTGACACCCAGAGAAACTCAAAGGCCTATTTCAGGATCACACAACCAAACGTTTTCCGAGTTTTAATAAATGAAAGCAGGACCAGGCGTGGTGGCTCACGCCTGTAATTCCAGCACTTTGGGAGGCCAACATGGGCCGATCACTTGGGGTCAGAAGTTCAAGACCAGCCTAGCCAACATGGTGAAACCCTGTTGCTACTAAAAATAAAAAATTAGCCAGGCTTGGTGGTGAGTGCTTGTAATCCCAGCTACTCCGGAGGCTGAGACAGGAGAATCACTTGAACCTGGGAAGCGCAGGTTGTAGTAAGCTGAGATCATGCCACTGTACCCCAGCCTGGCGACAGAGCAAGGCTCCGTCTCAAAACAAAAACAAAATCATAATAAAGCAAAGGGCGCACTGGCTAAAAGAAAGTTTGGAGAAGCGACCTACTACGCCCCCCTCTGGAAGATGCAGTGTCTTAATAGCATTCTTCCCATGACCATTTGAAAGACTCCAGGGGCAGCTGTGACGGATGGAATCTGCGGCGATGATGGCAACGTTCTGTTCTGTGTGGTTCAATATGGCAGTCACTACGCTCATATATTTGACTGTTAGGGACGTGAAATGTGGCTAGTGAGACTGAAGAAATGCATTTTCAAGTTTTAATTTTATGCAATTCCAAGTGACTTAAATATAAGTTTCAATATGAATTGGGTTGTATCAGTGAGCACAACAGATCGGTGCGGCACGAATGATGGCTTTGATCTCCAGAGCTGATGCCCTGGCAGGGAAGTGTTCCGTGAGTTGCAGAGTTGGGCAACATGGCGGCGCATTACACTTGATGCCCTGTTAGGAAATCCCGGAGCCCCAGGAAGGGAACGTCCGGTGACACAATATCCCCTATGGGCTCTTGCTGCTGTGAGTAACAGAGGGAGAGATCCTGGCAGGGAATGCACCTTCTAACCAATCCAGAATTGAGGAAGGATCTGACATTGTGCTGCTTATGAAGCGGTCCTCTCTAAGCTCTGCTCTGTGATACTGAGTCTGGGACTCTGCTTCACCTGCAGCTCCCCATTAGGGCTCTGCAACCAGGTGGCGCTAAAGAGAACCCCTGGAAGGATGGGGGAGGGAGAGGAGACCTGCGAGGTATTTGCTGTGGCCCTAAGCTTCGAGCTGGACCCTCAGTTGGCCCCAGTCTCCAGCTGTGTCACCTTGTACTTCCAGAACCAGCCTCATCCTGCCCCTCAGAGGTACTTGCTCCAGCCTGGTGACACTTCCTCTCAACAAGTTCTAATCTCACCCTCCATCTGCCCCCAAGCCCCAGGGGTATGAGATTCCTGACACCTCAGGGCCTCCTTTCTGCCTTTTCGGCTTTTGATACCCAGCAAACAGTTATTTCTATTTAATTCTCTCTGTGGAAGTAAGTGGGGTTATTTCTGTTTTTCTGCCCAGACTCTAATATAACCACTCAATTTATTTCTTCAAAGAGCAAGAGAATACATTTAGAGAGGTATTCAGCAGTAGAAAAAAACGCTAATCCAAATGTCAACGGCTAATTGGCTCCAGTCAAATAGATGTCCGTCCCGGTACAATTATTTCTTAATTGAAGCCTACTTAGTCTGATTAATTCTAACTTTGGAGATTTTGCACAGCAAAGGAAACAGCAAAGTGAAGAGACAACCCACAGAATGGGAGAAAATATTTGCAAACTGCCCCTCTGCCAAGGGACTAATAACCAGAATATGTAAGGAGCTTAAACAACTCTACAAGAAAAAAGTCTAATAATTTGATCAAAAAACAGGCAAAAGATCTGAATAGACATTTCTCAAAAGAAGACATACAAATGGCAACAGGCATACGAAAGGGTGCTCCACATCGTCAGTCATCAGAGAAATGTAAATGAAAACCACAAGGCACTAGCAACTCACGCAGTGAAAACAGCTGATACCCAAAACACAGGCAACAGCAAAGGTCGGCGAGGATGGAGAAAAGGGAATATTGCATGCTGTTGGCGGGAATGTAAATGAGTACGATCACGTGGAGAACAGTTTAGAGGTTCCTCCAAAAACTAAAAACACAGTTGTCATGGGATCTGGCAATCCCACTCCTAGGTATATACCCAAAAGAAAGGAAATCAGGATATCCAAGAGATATCTATACTCCCATGTTTGCTGTGCACTGTTTACAATGGCTGAGATTTGGAGGCAATCTAAATGTCCATCAACAGATGAATGGATAAAGAAAATGTGCTACATATACACAATGGAGTACTATTTAGCCATCAAAAGAATGAGATTCTGTCATCTGCAACAACATGGATGGAACTGGAGATGATTACGTCAAGTGAAACGAGCCAGGCATAGAAAGAGAAACATTGCATGTTCTCACTTTTTTGTGGGAGGTAAAAATCAAAACACTTGAACTCAGGGACACAGAGAGTAGAAGGATGGTGACCAGAGGCTGGGAAGGGCAGTGGGGGCTGGGGTAAGGTGGGGATGGTTAGTGGGTACAAAAAAAAAAAAAGAAAAAGAATGAATAAGATCTAGTATTTGATAGCACAACAGGGTGACTAGAGTCAACACATTTTGGCTGGGCCTGGTGGCTCATGCCTGTAATCCCAGCACTTTGGGAGGCCAAGGTGGGGGGATCACTTGAGCCCAGGAGTTTGAGACCAGCCTGGACAACAGAGCAAGACCCCCTCTCTACTAAAAAAGTACAAAAAAAATAGCCAGGTGTGGTGGTGTGCACCTGTAGTCCCAGATACTTGGGAAGCTGAGGTGGGAGGATCACCTTAGCCCAGGAAGTGAGGCTGCAGTGAACCGATATCATGCCACTGTACTCCAGCTTGGTGGATGGGAGACCTTGTCTCTAAAAAAAAAAAAGTATGTTAAAAAAAATGAAAAGAGCATAACTGGATTGTTGTAACACAAAGGATAAATGCCTGAGGTAATGAATACCTAATTTACCCTGATGTGATTATTACATACTACATGCCTGTATCAAAATAGTCTATATCCATAAACATACACTTACTATGTACCCACAAAACTTAAAAATAAATTTGCAGATGTCTTTATATGGAGCCATGGTGAATGTCTTTCTAAAGGAAATGACTCAATAATAATATTCATATTATTTATCGCTGTTCAAGGAATCATCCCCCAAATCTACCAACTCAAACAACAAATAGGTCTTACACAGTTTCTACGGGTTGAAACCCAGGAGCAACTAGCTAGCTGGCTGGACCCAGCTCAGGGTCTCCCAGGAAGTTACAGCCCAGATGTCAGCTGGGGCTACAGTCATCTGAAGGCTGGACTGGGGCTGGAGGACCATTTTCCAAGCTCACTCACTAAGGATGAAGCTAGTGGGAGGCTTCAGTTTTTCACT